TCTCTCTCTCTCTCTCTCTCTCTCTCTCTCTCTCTCTCTCTCTCTCTCAGTCCGGTACTAACCTGTGAAGGTGGCGTCTTGTTGCAGGTACATCAAAGACGAAGCTGGAGCTATGGCGCCACAGGCAAGTTTCCCTGGCCTCCGCCAACCATCTCTCTCTCTCTCCAATGCTACTCTAGCTCCTAATAGCACCCAGCGCTGAAGACTACTCCTAACGCTACTACTACTGCAGCGCTCCTTCAGAGTGCTGCTGCCGAATCTTGAAGACTGCCTCTTGCCTCCTGCACGCGAAGTGTCTGTGAACTGCCCGGGAAGTCCCTATCAGCCAGCTGCCTAAATGCCTGGCGGACTAGTTCTGTACAGTGCAGGTCCGGCTAGGAGGCTGCTCTTGCCCATGCCGAATCGTGCCAGAACCTGGCATTGGAGTCCAAAAAAAGGTTGTTTTGAAACGGCCCTAAGAATGGCCTGCGCTTATCCCTGGTCTGGCACCTAAGTTTCAGGGGAGGTCGACATGATGAGGGCCTAAGATTCGGCCCTCCTTTTCAGGCTGAAAAGACTCAGGGCCTTGAGGGCCCTTCTTAGGTTGAAACGTCACAGGGCCTGGAGGGCCCTTACTTTTGCCTTGTCGGGTCCTGCAGGGCCCGTTTGGTGCATAGCATGCCACATTCCCCCCTCCTTGAAAGACCGCGCTTACCTGCGAGGGCGAAGCTGTTTGTTGGATGGAAGACCAAAGTCCGGGTGGGAGGGGCAGGATGTGAAGGTTCCGTAGCTAGTCTCCGTCACTCGTAGTCGGCGTAGATCAGCCGTGCAGATGCTTGCATGTGGGGCGAAGTACACGGGGACGGAGTCAATGCACCGGTCGATTGACTTGTGTGTATGACCGTCAAGCAACGTGACCTGCGTGGGCTGACTTCCTCCAAACGCGTGGCCCAAGGCCAGCGCGTACCATAAAGTCTTGGCTGATATAGTTGCGAGTAGCTCCGCAATCAATCAAAGCGCTGCAGGTCGCCTCTCCGATCTGAATGCATATGTACAACAATGGCGCCTCGATGTCGTCGTACCGTTGTGTCTTGAACTCACGGTCGATCTTCGCAACGTAGTCATGAAGGTCAACAACCTCTACTCCGGCGTCCATCAACGAAGTTGGTACTGCAGTGTGCAAGTAATCCCGCAATTGTGCCATGACCACGTTGCAATGCGGTTTCGGCAATCGACCGGTCGAGGGAAGGGGCATCCATTGGAAGTCCGCGAACGTCAACGGGTCGAGTTCTTCAAGTCTTGACCAAGACGTCGAATCCCCGACGAAATTTGGCGGCGAATCTGCCGAATCGGTTGCCGATGGTGATGAAACCGTGCATGCGGTGGATTGTTGCACGTGGAGTGGTTGGTCCATCGCTGGGACCAGGTGGACAGCGTAATCCTCGTAAGTGAACCGAGGACTCGCGACATTCGCATCCTCCCCAGATGTGTAGGAGGCCACTAGCAAGGCAGCCGAATCTAGCGGAGTGAGAGGTGGAGTTGCCTCACCTCCCGCGCAACTCAGTTTCCCGAGTTGATGCGAGGTCGAACATCCTCCTTGCCTTCATCCTGGCATTGGGAGGTCTTGTGATTGGTGTTGTAGCACCAATAGCAACAGCCATAAAGGTTGCGGTACTTGTAATCGGCCTCGGTCAAGTTGAACTCGACCCATGGTGCTGGCTATCCGTTTTCGGCCAGCGATGCGGATTTCGCCTTCCCTTTTCCACGGGAGTTGTTGTTGCTTCGCGGCTGCACAGTGGCCACCTGATCTCCCTCACGTGATGCTGAGGTGGTTGTCGGGTCGTCCACAATATTGTGCGGTTGGACTGCAGCGACATGCTGCGGACGCGAACCAAAATTTCCCTTCTCCACATAGGTTGGCTGCCATGTTGACTTCTCGTGCGCAGTTGATCTTGATGTTCTCTTGCGCCGTGTCGATAATTTCGGCAAAAGTCGTGTACTGCTCACGATCACTAAGTGCGAGGCTCAAGGCGGCACACGACCGGTTGTAGAACTCTCGGCGCAGATGCGAAAATGGCAACTCGAGATCGAGCGTTGCCACGATCTTTTGCCATTCCGTGAGCCAATCGCGTGTTAGTGTGATGCCTTGGGTCATGGTGAAGAGGCAGTTGATGGCAAGCGTCGGGGCATTGTCAACGATGAACCGCTTCTTCCATTCTCTCGTCAGATCTTCCCAGGAGATCTTATTGTATAGATGATCCTGGACGCCGTAGATGGTTGCCATGTTGTTGAGCCAGATCTGGCATCCGCCCTTGATGTTGAGGAACAGCGCTGAGATGAACAAGTATCTGGGGACCTCGTGAATCCCAAGCTCCGTTCTAAAACCGTCCCACCAAATGACTGAGTCCTGACGCGTATAGTCGTCAAACTTCTCGATCCGGAACGTCGGCATCTTGTAGTGCTTTGATGCACTGGTGCTGCGAACGTTGTCAGGCGGCTGGTGCAGCTGCCTGAGTTCGGTCTGCAAGGTGCCGAGCTGCTCGCTGATGGTGGCTGGTGCGGCGAACGTGCTGATGTCGCCAAGCATTGCGACTATATGGTCAACTCGTTCCTCCAATTGGCGGGTTGAGGGTGCACTGCTGGACCCGCCAGCATCTGGTCTTGGTGCGACTTGCTCCAAGTCCTGTACACGGGAATGAAGTGCCCGTGTAGCATCCTCGTGCAGATCCTTGTGGTTCTGCACTGTTCGTCGGAGATTCGACAGTTTATGGTGCTGTTTCGCCAGTTCCTGGTGTTGTTTCGTATGTTCCTGGTGTTGGTTCTCTAACTCGGACTGTAGGTGGTTACAAGTGTAAACCAACCCGGTCACGAGTTTGGAGAGGAACTCCTTGTGCTGCTCTTCCGGTGTCACGTCGTCATTGTCCTCAGCTGGTTCAAAATGCCAGAACTTGAGCCTTTCGACGCTGGTGGCTTCGTGCCGTTGTAGCAGATCCTGGGCCTCCTTGCGGCGTGCCTGGGTATCTGCGTCTGCTTCGGCCTGAAGCCGCTGCTTTTCAGCTGCTGCCTCGGCTGCCGCCTGGCGCTGTACCTCAGCCTCGATCAATGCGAGCTGAGCTAGAAACCGTTGATGGTACTCGTCAATGGACTCACCGGCCAGTTGGCCTATCATGCCCAATGATGAACCCATCATGGTGGAGGGGCACTGCGGGCGTTGGTACTGTTGCTGTCGTGGCACTGCTGCTGATGTGGCACTGCTACTGTCATGGCACTGTTGACGCAGCACTGCTGACGTGGCACTGTTGCTGACGTGGCACTGCTGGCGTGGCACTGTCTAACCGGGAATGCAGGCAAAGGGTTGGGTGGGAGGGAAAACGCAGGAAGGTAACCAACTAGCTGTACTTTCCTCCCGATCCTAATCAACAGAATAAAATAAAAATAAAAAATAAAAGAAGAGGATCACCCCCCTTTTTTTTTTCCTTTTTTTTTTGCATATCTGTCGATCTGCTATGAGTGAGGCATTTCAGAGGAGTACTATGAGCGAGATCTAGGCAAGGTTCTGCAAAGTTTCGGCTTTCAAAAAATTGCAATTTTGAAACAAAAAAAATTTGCGCGAAATAGACTGGAGGTTCCATTTTCAGAGAAGAATAGATCCAATCCGAGAATATGACAACCTTCCTAGTTCGCCTAATCTGCCCAGAGTGAAACAGAAAACGAAATGCTAATATCCGAAGTTGCGAAAAAGAGAAAAAAAATAAAAATTTGCAGAGATTTGACGAAGTCCTACTTGACTCACTAATAATCAATCAATCAATCAATCAATCAATCAATCAGCAATCAGTCGATCAAGCAAGCTGGCTTCTTGATTGGGCGGATCCTCTGATTGAGAGGTCCGCTCCGATACCAAACTGTCGCATACCGTAAAGGTGCAGACCAGAACAAGAGCCGACCTCTCTCACATAGTACAAGATAGTGCAGCGGAAGGCTAATATACCAACGATCCGACCAATCATACATCATCATCATCGCATGGTGTGAAGGGACCTGGCACTCGCATAGGAAGAATGCGCCAGTCCCACACATACACAGACGAAGAGGAGGGGGGATTAGACGAAGCAGAGGGGAAGATGGGACTGTCGTCAACACCAAGTCTTCGTTACACGTCCCAAAAAATCCCTCGCCCAATGTCTCAATCCCAATGTCTAGTCTGAAGTCCCAAAGTCACCAATCTCTCTCTCTCTCTCTCTCTCTCTCTCTCTCTCTCTCTCTCTCTCTCTCTCTCTCTCTCTCTCTCTCTCTCTCTCT